TATATATATATATATATATATATATATATATATATATATATAATTTATATTTTATAATAAAAAAAATCTATATATATAAATCTTGAAAATTTTAGTGATTATAATTATTATATAGTTATTAAATCGTTAAATGAATTTTTATCATAATGTATATATAAATGCTTGTGATATTAAATATTTTATTGATTAATTTATGCTATTTATTAGTTTACTATTTATAAGAATATAAATTTTTTAACTGCATTTTATTATATCATTTCAAATAATTAATCTATTGTATGTTATTACATATATAAAATAAAATAATAAAATAATATTTTCGATACTTTCGGAAAATCTTATTGACTTAATCAAATATTAATAAAAATCATTGATTTTTATAATTTTAAATTTCATTTAAAGCTCTCAATAAATTTTTATTTTTTCTTCTTTTAATTTTTTATCAAAAAAAATAATTTTTTTATACATAAAAAAATAAATAATTTACTTATTTATTAATAAAAAAATATAATTGATTAGAATTATTATTGTAATAAAGTTATTGATTAAAATTATTATTATAATAAAATTGTATTTTTCATATGCAATATATGTTATATATGTATACATGCATATATATTTTTATATTTAAATAATTATAAATAAAATCTTTTTAAAAATGTAATTTATTTAGAGTTTATTTAAAAATAAAAATTTATAAATATAAATACATCATATACTTGAATAACATAATAGTGAATATATCTATTTTTTTTTACAATTTGTATTTAATAATTTTTATATATAATTTAGAAATTTAATTAATTAAATTATAAATAAATTTTGATTTATGTACATGTTAAGAAAAATATCGAAAGTTGTTTATTTGAAGTATGTTTTATTTTTCAGTTATCAATTATAACTTATGTCATATTAATAATCGTTTGTTAGTTCTTTCAATTTTAGTAACGCGAAAAGTTTAGTCTTTAAAATTTATATTCTCTTATGGAAAATATAAATTATTAATTCTTAGCTCCATGATTACATTGAATTATAAAAGCACATTAATAATAAAAGCAAGTTTACTAAGTATATATTTCTTATTTCGATTATATTCTTCAATATTATATTTTTACACTGCATATATTTTTATTGCAATATATATTATATATTGCATAATTATATTCATATATCAAATGATTAATACAATATAATAATAATAATATGATTAATACAATTTAACTTTCTCTAAAAACATTACATTTTCATTAATATTTACATTAACATTACATATTTAAATTAACATTACATTTTCGTTAACATTTTCAATAAATCAAAAACTGATTCATTTTTTTAAAAACATAAAATAAAAACTATCAAAAAAGATAATTATTAAAAATTAATCAATTAAAAATTAATCTATTGCATATACTTAAAAACCTATCTTATTATTATTACATTTTTATTACAGTATTTCACAGTATAGAATGACTCGAAATAAGGAAGAATATTCATCTTAAATTACTCTTATTATCCTATTTAGTTGACAACAAATTAAATTTAATTAAAAAATATATAGAAATATGATAGTAAAATATTTTAATAGTTATAAGTTTTCGAAAAAATAAATATTAAATTAATAATATTTATTTAAATTAATAAGTAAAAATAAATATTATATTTTCTAAACTAACGTATTAAGTTTACGAAATATAACAATAATTTATCTTATATCTTTTATTCACAGGATTCAATTTAAAATAAAGCAATTTTTATTATAAAAGGATATATAATTATTTAATTTAAATTATTATTTTTTAAATTCATAGTAAATTTTCTTTTACAATTTTCTCTTAATATCATTTGGAATTTTTAAAATTTTCTTGCATTTCATAAAATTATATAATATATACATATTATGGTAATATAGTTATGTATAAATATTGAAGTATAAATATAAATGTATATATATAAATGTATAAATATTAAAATCGAAATAAAATCGAATAATAGAAGTTATTTCGAATATTCCACGAATTGCAGTTTATTCATTCCTACTTAACATATATAATATTCTGCCATTTATTTCTTCTTAACTGAAAAATTAAAATATCCATATTATTTCAAAAAATGTTTATAATATTTCGTTCGGATAAAATTTCGTTATTATTCAGAAGATATAATATAAAAGTAGATATGTATCTATAAGTAATAGATTCATACAACAGTATGCATTCAAAGAAAGTATGTCGTTTCTAATGAGGCCAAAATTCAAATCTGATATCATCATTTGCGTTACTATTTTCGTACATAAAGCAAAATTCCTTATTACCACACACATTTCTAATATTTCTAATATCAAAAAGGAATTTTTTAAATTATATTAAAGTAATTTAAAGAAAAAGAGGAAAAAATAAAAAAAAAGTGAATTTCTAAGAAAAAAATTTGAAA